TTCACTGCTGGTGAAATAAATTATGGGAAGACAATGAACCATGGCAAAGAGCTTTGCTACATGCATACATGGAGGCTGAACACTGTACATAATAAATAAATAAATCTTTAAAAAAAAAAAGGACATGTGCTCAACTATGTTCATAGCAGCTTTGTTTGTCATAGCCAGACCTGGAAACAACCTAAATGGCCCTCGACTGAAGAATGAATAAGGAAAATGTGGTACATTTACACAATGGAGTACTATACAGCAGAAAAAATAAAATATCTTGAATTTTGCAGGAAAATGGATGTAACTAGAAAACATTATTTTGAGAGAGGTAACCCAGACACAGAAAGACAATTATCACATGTACTCACTCACAGGTGGTTTTTAAACATAAAGCAAAGAAAGCCAGCTTATAAACCATAATCCCAGGGAATTTAGACAGCAATGAGGACACTAAGAGAGACTTACATAGATCTAATCTACATGGGAAGTAGAAAAAGACAAGATCTCCTGAGTAAATTGGGAGCATGGGGACTTTGGGGGAGGGTTGAAAGGGGAAGGGGAGAGGCAAGGAGGGAAGCAGAGAATAATGTAGAGCTCAATAAATATCAATAAAAAAGGGAAAATTGGATAGGATAACAGATTGGTTTGTGAGTTATTATTTATAGACAATTACATTGATATAGATTATTGTATATTGATATAAAGTTAAATTATATTGAATATTGTATGCATGCATGCTTCTACCTCTGTTTAAAACATCTTTTATGTATTGATATATATTTACCATATTGCAGTGTACATTTCTACCTCTGTTCAAGATACTCATACATTGATTGATTACATTTGGAGGTCATTGTCCTCATTTATTGCACAGTTGTTTATTGTCTTAGTCTTTAAGTTAGATCGATATTGAGAATTATATAGATTAATAGTCATCTAAGTTTGTCATTTGTAATTAGACTAATCAGGTTCTTTAGATACATAGAGATTATATTCTGTATAGATAAGCAATCTTCAACCACTACAAAGAGCTGTAGAAAATGGCATTTAAATAACTTAGAGTTCTGTTGAAGTGAGACACGATTGCTCCTGGCAGCGCCAATCTATTCCCAAGAGAATGTTGAGCACTAAAGACACTCCACTTGGAGCTTGTTTTCTTCTTGGAAAAACTGGCCTTTGGGCAAAGAAATACCCATGCCTCATCCACTGACAAGATATATAGTATCCAGAAATGGATAAAGCCGGGCGATGGTGGCGCACGCCTTTAATCCCAGCACTTGGGAGGCAGAGGCAGGCAGATCTCTGTGAGTTCGAGACCAGCCTGGTCTACAGAGNAGAGGCAGGCAGATCTCTGTGAGTTCGAGACCAGCCTGGTCTACAGAGCTAGTTCCAGGACAGGCTCCAAAGCCACAGAGAAACCCTGTCTCGAAAAACAAACAAACAAACAAACAAAAACAGAAATGGATAAGCAGGACTGTCAAATCTTGCCAACACAGGGTAAGAGTGTTTTGAAAATTTTCTTGCCTTTGAAAATAGTCTGTCAGTTATTCTAGGCCTTAGCCAAAGTTGGTTGCTTCAATGTTGCAAATGTGACTTTGAGTGATTGTCCAGGTAGCCAGTTGTCTCTGTGATTTGTTGCATGTTTTGGAAGTTGTTTGTTCTTCCTACTCACTCAGGCAACATTATTTCCCTTCTGGGATCTTCGATGGGGTCGAAGACTAGATAAGTGTAGTTAACTTTCCTTTCATGACTTGGCCAAGTTATTTATTATACAAGACTTAAGTTAGTTAGAATAGGAGATTTGTTCTTATTATATATAATTTTGTATTAGGTTTAGAACTCTCTTATTTAAACAAAAGAGGGAGGTGCTGCAGGAAGGTTTATAGCTAGTAACTACCCGCCTTCTGGGGTGTGGCCTCATAGACTATTTACCTAAATGCTGAAGCGAGTCTGGCCCTTCTTTTCTCCCCTAATTCCCGTTTGCTCGTTTGGACTGTTTGGATCCCATCTCCATCCACCGTTCAAGCAGAGAATCCTGATATGTAAGTTTCCCCCTAAGTAAATATCCATCTCTTGGTTCTGAGCTAGTGCAGGCTTTCTTTTAAGCCTCTGATCTCTCCACCATCATTGCCATCTTTTTTTTCTTCCGCCAAGCCTAAATTCTCCTAATTTTTACTCTCCCTGCCCAGAAGTCCTGCCTATACCTCCTCCTTCGCTATTGGCCATTCAGCTTTTTATTAGACTAACCAGGTACCTTAGGCAGGCAAGGTGAAACAGCAACACACCTTCCCATAGTTAAACAAATATTCCATAGCACGACAAAATGGCTTCTTGGGTGAAGGCATTTGCTGCCAAGTCAGACGACTGAAGTCTGATCCCCAGACCCTCTCAGTCGAGGGAGGTGTCATTCATATGTGCTGAAGCATACATGTTTCCCATCTCACATAAAAACTAATTAAAAAAAATAAGCTGGAAAAAAGGCTCATCAGTTAAGAGCATTGACTGCTTTTGCAACAAACCCAGGTTCAGTTCCCAGAATCCACATAGCAACTCAAAGTCATCTGGAACTCCAGTTTCAGGGGATCTGACGATCTGACACCCTCCTCTGACTTCCTTTGGCACCAAACACGTATACAGTGCTCTTACATACAGGTGGGAAGGACACTCATAAAATAAAAATAAATCCCTTTTTAAAAAAATTCTAGCACAGGCTGGGTGGCAGTGACCCTCAACTTTAATCCCAGCAGTCAGGAGGCAGAGACAGGCAGATCTCCATGAGTTCAAGGCCAGCCTGGTCTACAGAGTGAATCCCAGGACAGTCAGGGATACACAGAGGAAACCCTGTCTCAAAAAGCCAAAAACCAACCAAACAGTTAACTGCCTAGGCCTATCTCTTTTCCTAGTCAAAAGCCTGTAGTTTTTCTCACCAGAAACCCATGTACAACCTTAGTGGCTTTCTGGGTTTTTGTTTGTTTCTTTCTTTCTTTTTTCCCCCCTTTTCTTTGTAGGTTATAATCTCATCAAAGTCCCCACCAGAACCAGTCTATAAGCTCGGCTATCCAAATGAGTGAAGGGCAGTGAGCTGGCTTGGTAGGGAAAGGCAGTACCGCCAAGAATCTGAGTTCTGTCTTTGGGTTCCACTTGGTGTCAGGAGAGAACTCACTCCTTCAAGTTATTCTCTGACCTCCACTTTCTACACAAACCTTTGGAGCTGTAAGGAGAGCCACCCAGTGGTGCATAAGGCTGATGCTCACACACACACATCCCGGCCTCTCCCTTGGTAAGTCGTCACCCTTGCGTGGGTCCTGTTTCCCACTGAGCGCCTCTCCTCAGCGACCGGTTTCAAGTCTATATTAAAACATCTTTCATGAAAACTCTCGCTCTGGTTTATAAGCCCAAATTCTTTTCTTCATGGAAGCCACCAACCCCGGTTGGGTCTCAGTGCAGGTCGCTGTGAGGTGACGCTAATGCCTCAGTCTGGGGATGGTGTTGCGTGCCTTTAATTCTAGCGAGCGGCGCAGTGGCAGGAGGACGCTGTGAGTTTGAGGCTAGCCTGGTCTACATAGAGAGTTCCAGACCAAACGGGGCTACACAGTGAGACGCTGTCTCAAACACAAATTCAACAATAAAAGTAAAGGCTCAAGCTGCTGAGAGTGACAGCTTGGCCTTGTGTCTCTGTTCCATACTCTTGACATCTCATCTTTGGCTTTCAAGGGAAATATTTCCCGGAAGCTGGGAGCATGGGCTCAAGCCTGTCATCCCAGCTACTTGGAAGGACTGCAGGTTGGCCATCTTGGACGAAAGACTAAGACCTGTCTCAAAAGTAAAAGAGCTCAGGTGTGGTCAGAGGTAGAGCCCCTGCCTAGAATCCCCCAGTGGAGGGCTGGGGTGTGGCCCAGTGGTAGAGCCTCTGCCTAGAATCCCCCAGTGAGGGCCTGGGGTGTGGCCCAGTGGTAGAGTCCTGCCTAGAATCCCCCAGTGGAGGGCTGGGGTGTGGCCCAGTGGTAGAGTCCTGCCTAGAATCCCCCAGTGGAGGGCTGGGGTGTGGCCCAGTGGTAGAGTCCTGCCTAGAATCCCCCAGTGGAGGGCTGGGGTGTGGCTCAGTGGTAGAGCCCCTGCCTAGAGTCCCCCAGTGAGGGGCTGGGGTGTGGCTCAATGTATTCTCTGTGTTGCTTAGGATGAGACCGGTGTCTTGCTCTAGCCTTGAGCCCCCCCTCCCCCAGAAGTCTCTTCCTGATGCTGTCATTGAGGCCTGTCTTCTGGCCTCAGCGTCTCGCTCAAAACCAGATCAGCTCCCTGCCTCCATTGAGTAGACCCCGGCCCTCCCCACGTGAGCTGCTCACCAGAAGTTCTGTGATGTCAGGGTCCTCGGGAGCCCAGGGTGTTGTAGGGGAAGCAGGTGGCCCTGGCAGAGCCAGTGGACCACTGTCCTCTGTGGTAGAGTCTGTGCCTGACGAGTCGGGCTCCATAGCAGTCAGGTTGAGCAAGGACACGTTGGTGCAGGCTGAGGACCGCTTGAGGTTCAGGCACCAGTGGGACATCCGGGGCTCCACCCTGCAGGTGACCCAGGAGATGGTGGGGATTGGGTGCCGGAGGGAGGAGCAGGGCTTGTGTCCACTGAGGCCACCGGACCCCCTGCTTCTTTCAGCTACTGTCGCCCTGCTTCCCGCTTTCACTTCCTGCTCAGTCCCCACTGCCTGTGTTCTTCCATCACTCTGCCCTCTCCTCCTGATGCTCCCTTGAACCCACTGCCTTCCTGTCCCTCCTCCTTGCCCCGCCTTTCCCTCCAGCACCCATGCTTTGCTGTAGGCAGTAGGCCTATCACCAACAGGGTGCAGGAAACCCACCCATGGAAGGACACGGCCTTCTTTTTCTTCGTGATCCCCTTGGTAGGGCTGGTCACTCCCCCTGGAGCCTCGGGGACCAGCTGGGCGCAGCTCTCGACCCCCGCAGGTGGGTCCCCCGCCTCATGGATTTCTTTGGATTGCCAGATAGTCTTCACCACCACACTTGCCATGGCGCGGGGGGGCCTGCTCCCAGGGGGAGACTCACCATCTACTGTGCCCGCCCCCCACCCCCAGCGCTCAGGGTCCCCTAGCTCCTGGCCTGGGTCACAAAGGGCCTAACCACTGTGTCACAGGGAGGGGCATGAGGGAGAACAGGTGTTGACTCAGGGTGACCCTGCAAACCTCAGTGGACTCTTCCAGGTCGGGTTCTGGTTCTAAAGTTCCTTCATTCGGGTCCAGAGCACCCAGTGGGCTGGAAACCCTGCAACCAGCTCTGGGACCCAGAATCAGGTCCTATCCTGCTTCATGCCTTGCGTGAAATCTGAGAGACATAACGGGATCATTTCCAAGGCCTTCCCTGGTAGACTTGGTGTTCTGTGGAGGTCTGGGAGGCAGAGTTGGGAAGAGAAAACCCCAAGAAAAAGATGCCAGCCCTGGAAGTGTCACAGGAGAGTCAAGAGAAGTCATGGCAAATGTCACAACTCCTCAGCCTGTGTTTTAGGGGATTTAGGCTTCATACTGTGTGTGAATTTTACCTGTCAAAAAAGAACCCAAGCCAGGCAGTGGCGGCGTATGCCTTTAATCCCAGCACTCCAGAAGCAGAGGCAGATGTATCTCTCTAAGTTCAAGGCTGACCTGGTCTACAGGGTTAGAATACCTGCTCAGGCACTCTCATGAAGCACTGGGTTCCACCTCAGCACTGGAGAGCTGGAGGAAGCAAGATCATGAGTTTAGGATCATCCTCAGCTACATAGTTTGAAGCCAACCAGTACGAAGATTTAGGGATGATACTATTTGAGTACTCAGAGTGAAATAAAGTGTGAGGAGGGTCCTTGTGAGAATGGTCTAGTTTTTTGTTTTGTTTTTTAAAGATTTATTTAATTTTGCACACAGTATTCTGTCTGCACATATGCTTGCAGGCCAGAAGAAGGCATCAGATCTTGTTATAGATGGTTGTGAGCCACCATGTGGGTTCTGGGAATTGAACTCAAGTCCTCTGGAAGAGCAGTCAGTGCTTTTAACCACTGAGCCATCTCTCCAGCCCCTACATCTAGTTTTTTAATTAACTCACTTATGTGATGGGTGTTTTTCCTGAATGTATGTCTGTGCATAGCATGTGTGCCTAGTGCCTAGGGAGGCCAGACGGTGTCAGATACACTGGGACTGGAGTTGCAGACAGTTATTAGCTGTTACGTGGGTTCTGGGACTCGAACCCGGGTCATCTGGAAAAGTAGCCAGTGCTCCTAATGACGTCTGTATGCTTGATTTTTTTAAAAAATTTTGTGTGCACTGGTGTCTCATGTGCATGTGTTTCTGTGTGAGGATCAGATCCCCTGGAACTGGAGTTACACAGACAGCTGCGAGCTGCCATGTTGGTGCTGGGAACTGAGCCCCAGTCGTCTGGAAGAACAGCCAGTGCTTTTCACTGCTCGTTCTCCAAGCCCCTTGTTTTGTTTTGTTTATGTGCATTGGTGCTTTGCCTGCATGCATGTCTGTGCAAGGGTGTCAGCCCCTAGGACTGGAATTATAGACAGCTTTGCCCCCTGGATGTGCAGTCAGTGCTCTTAACCACTGAGCCATCTCTCCAGCCCATTTGCTTGATTTTTTAAGGACAGGTTCCCATTATGTAATCCTGGCTGGCTTCAAATTTACAAAGATATGCCTGTCTTTGCCTCCAAAGTGCTGAGTTTAAAGGTGTGTGCCATCATGCCTAGTCTTTTCTGGGTTTTCAATTTTTTATTTATGGGGCTGAAAAGATGGCTTAGCAGTTGAGAGCACTGGGTGCTCTTCCAGACCACCTGGGTTCAATTCCCAGCACCTACATGTCGCCACTGTAACTCCAGTTCCAGGGGATCCAACACTCACACACAGACATACATGTAGTCAAAACACTGACACATAGCCGGGCGGTGGTGGCACATGCCTTTAATCCCAGGACTTGGGAGGCAGAGGCAGGCGGATCTCTGTGAGTTCGAGACCACCCTGGTCTACAGAGCTAGTTCCAGGACAGGCTCCAAAGCCACAGAGAAACCCTGTCTCAAAAAAACAAAAAAAAAAAAAAAAAAAAAAAAAAAAAAAAAAAAAAAAAAAAAAGAAAAGAAAAGAAAAAAAAAACAGAAAGAAGTCCTGAATGAGTCCCTCCCATTCTACTTCCAGTGGACATCCCTACTGTCACTCATGGGTGACAATGAATCCTTGCAACAGGTACATAGGCCATTTCTGAGAATGACTTCGGGGACCATCCACCCCAGCCTTCATGGCCAGGAGAGAGATGATCTGTGAGGGGTGAAGAATAAAATTTGCTGTGGGAAATGCTTTTGTACACTGTAAAGAGTTGTCACTCGTATTGGTTTAATAAAACGTTGATTGGCCAGTAGCCAGGCAGAAAGTATAGGTGGGGCAACCAGACTAGGAGAATTCTGGGAAGAGAAAAAGCAGGCACGCAGTCACCAACCAGATGCAGAGGAACCAAGATGAGAATGGCTTACTGGTAAAAGGTACCAACCACGTGGCTAACATAGACAAGAATTATGGGTTTAAGTTGTAAGATCTAGTTAATAATAAGCCTGAGCTAGTAGACCGAACAGTTTTTAATTAATATAAGCCTCTGTAGGTTCTTTGGGGTGGGAGGGACTGAATGACTATGGGATTGGGTGGGACAGAAATTTGCATTTACAAAAACTCAAGACAGTACCATATTTTCAGGTGCTGACCCAGGCCATGCAGGGACTGATTTCATGATTTAGCTACACCGAAATTCTCTTGCAAAGTAGCAAAAACCTGTGATCTTTACAATAAGACTGAATTCTGCCTGGATAGGGTGGCACACATCTTTAATCCCAGCACTCTGGAGGCAGAGGCAATGGATCTCTGAGTTTGAGGGCAGCCTGGTCTACAAATCGAGTTCCAGTATAGCCAGGGCTACACACAGAGAAACCCTGCCTTGAAAAACAAAAACAAAATAAAACCAAAAAAAAAAAAAGGGAGAAAGAAAAAAAAGAATGAACTTTAAGCGGGGGGTGGTGGTGCACCCTTTTAATCCCAGCACTAAGGAGGCAGAGGAGGAGGACCTCTGAGTTCAAGGCCAGCCTGGTCTACAGAGTGATTTCTAGGACAGCCGGGGCTGTACAGAGGAAACCCTGTCTCGACTCCTCCCCCAAGAAAGGGTTCTCCTGGCTAGGGCCTGAGCTGATAAGGGTAATTGTAAGAATAGATTCTGCTGGTGGAGAATGCAAAGCACATGGGACCTATTTCATAGGGACGTGTTCTGTTTACTGAGAGAGAAAGCCCAGGATATTGGTGGGGGATGGCTCCTAACCACACAGGGTTTTTTGACGACATCACTTCAACATTCCAGAGATCGGGCATCATTCATTTCTTCTATTGAAGAATGGGCCTTGTTTTTCAATGCTGACTCTAAGCTGTGCTTCCGATAGATGGCGCTGCTGGGTTTGGTCGGCTTCTTACCCTGACGTCCGCTGGGCCTCGAAGGCGAGCCTGTGAGCTGGGAGTGGTGGCACTCGGGAGGCAGAGGTGGGTGGATCTCTGCGATTCCACGCCCACCTGGTGTACATATTGGCTCTGTCTCTGCGGCTGTGTGCTCCCGCCTACCCTGGAGGGACCCTGGAATCAGGAAGGCCTTTCTTTATACCCAGAACTCAGTCACTCCACTTGCCTCTACCAAGCTGCCTGAGCAGAGAATCAGAAGCGATATTCTACTAGCTAACTAGGGACAGGTTTCAGATATTCTTGGGACACTTTATGTTCCTTCTTCACACACTCCATGGAGGATTAGTTCAGTTTCCACTGCTCATCTGTGTCCTTACGTGCCTTTAGTATTTAGAAGCTCTCCAGAAAACAGACATTCTGAATTGTTCTTTTTTGGCAATACTGGGGATTGAACCCAGCATTTGGTGTATTAGGCAAGTGCTCTACCACTGAAACATACCCCCAGCCCCCCACTGGGGGATTCTAGGCAGGGACTTTTGTTTGTTTGTTTTTTAGTTTTTTTTTTTGTTGTTGTTGTTGTTTTGGTTTGGTTTAGGTTTTGTTTTTTGAGACAAGGTTTCTCTGTAGCTTTGGAGCCTGTCCTGGAACTAGCTCTGTAGACCAGGCTGGCCTCGAACTCAGAGATCCGCCTGCCTCTCCTCCCGAGTGCTGGGATAAAAGGCGTGTGCCACCACCTTCACTGCAAGGCAGGGGCTTTATCTCCAACCACACCCCAACCACTTGGGATTTCCAGGCAGAAGCTCTACCCCTGAGCCACACCCCCAGTCGCTCTCTGGGAGATTCAAGGCTACATTCTTGTTCTTTCTTTTTCTTTTCTTTCCTTTTCTTTTCTTTCTTTCTCTTTCTCTTCTTCTTCTTCTTCTTCTTCTTCTTCTTCTTCTTCTTCTTCTTCTTCTTCTTCTTCTTCTTCTTCTTCTACTTCTTCTTTTCTTCTTCTTCCTCTCTCTCTCTCNCTCTCTCTCTCTCTCTCTCTCTCTCTCTCTCTCTCTCTCTCTCTCTCTCTCTCTCTGTTTTTGAGACAGGGACTCTCTTTGTAACCTTGACAGTCCAGGAACTCTCCACGCTGTTCAAGCTAGCCTTGAACTCAGAGAATTGCCTGTTGCCCAGGACTGGGCGTTGCTCCTTCCGAGGTCACAGGACTTATCTCCTAGACCCATTCTGGGCTTGTTGGAAATTAGAAAAGCCTGTCTGGGGTGGCGTTTAGTTCGTGGCGATAACAGAAATGGACCCTTCGAATTCCCTTTGCCACAAAATTCTCAATAGCCCGGGCATCGGCGATCGGGCGGCTTTTCTTTCTTGCAATCAGTCCTCAGCTGTGGTGGTAACTGGTTTTTGCCTGGGTGACTTCCAGAACTGATGGAGGAAGCAATTTTTACTTTATGACCACTTAATGCAGACTGTCTTAGGCACTGTGGTTCAGGGAGGGGAAAAAAAAAAAGATCAGGTCTACAGAGCTAGTTCCAGGACAGGCTCCAAAGCCACAGAGAAACCCTGTCTCGAA